CCTCCCGACCTTGCCTGCGCCTCTTAACAACCCCCGACCTGCCTGCACCTCTCAACAACCCCCGACCTGCCTGCGCCTCTTAACAACCCCCGACCTGCCTGCACCTTGGCCACCGACTGTAACTGAAGTCATTAGAACTGAAGCACTGAAGACTGGTAAGGAAAAAATAGACTGTCAGCTGCTGGTATTAGGTGCTGGTGTTAGGTGCTGGTTGATCCTCTTGTTCGTTTGGGCCCCAAGCCTCTGAATGTTTCGAATCGTAGACAACTCGACGGAAGAAGGAGTCGGTAAAGAGGGTGGCCTGGACTGCGGATTGGTGGCATGGGCAGTACTGGGCGAGGACGAGGCGTAGTGTGGACTGGAAGTCTGCAGCTTCGGAGGGTGGTTCCTTATCAAATTCGAGTGAGAGATAAATTTGTTCGAACGCGTTGATGAGCCAGTGGCCGAGATGTGTACGAGATTTACGCGATGCACGGTCCAGCATTCGGTGTGCCTGGAGTCGGAAGTCTTCGATGTCTCCAGCGGAGAGCTGGTAGTGTTCGAGTAAGTTCCTGAGGGAGATCAGACGGCCTTGTGTTATGCGTTCGTTAAGGAGTTTGGTGGTGCCGGCGAGATCAAGCGATTTGGTTGATCTGGGCCAGACTTTTTGACGCCAAGTCGTACGCCATGGTTGGTAACTGGCCGTACCCGGCAGCGTCCACACCTCGGCATGCACCGCCCGTCCCGCCTTCATCGTTGGGTTCATAGCTTTGTTGCACTCATTCTGCCAAGTGGAACTCGTGTCCACAGCGCCGGTGAGCTTGATCAAGGGTCGTGGTCGGCACAGGCGGCAAAGATAAGTGTCCTGCACGAGGGTTTGTTGACCGGGGAAGAGCATGCTGTCATCACTATCGCGACCCAGGCCGCTCTCTGCCGTGGTGACAGAATCCTCTTCATCCATCCAGGCGTCCGCGTCCGACAAACTCAGTTGTTTCCGTGGACTGTAAACCAGACGCGGTCGACAAACACCAGCCCAGTACTGCTTGTGGTAAGCGCCGGTGACATCCAACTCTAAATAGTTGGCCAAAAGCGCCTCACGCAACTCCTGAAAGCTCTGCCACGAACTCGTCAACGCCCCACGCGTCGTACATAACGCATCGTACGAAGGCGGGTCGTCGTACTCACACACCACATATGGTGGAGGCGGACCTCGCGGACTCGCAAATTCAGGCGGCTCATAGTCACTAGGCGCCGGCCGCGGCGGTATACCACCTTCTATTCCCGCATCCACTCGACCATCTCCCTCCGGCACGTCCGCCGTACTTGCTAAATTTAGAAGCACACGTTGCGCCAAACGAACACGAACACACTCTTGCGCCAACAAACTGCTGACCCACGCCGTCTCCGCCTCCGCCGCAGCCGCCCGTGCCGCAGCCGACTGCTCCGGCGCAACCGCAGCCACCCTGGACTCCGTCACCGGATCCTGACTCCCGCCGGCCACGGCCTCCGCCTCCGGCGCTTGACTTCCGCCCGCGAC